AGCAATGGCACCTTCCCCTCGTCAACAGTATTTATCTTGGGGATTGCTCCTAACACCCTATTCTTCTTCACCCATTGTTGGCATATATCGATCCTATCTATTTGACTCAACTTACAACGTTTGCACTTTCTCAAAATGCCTTTACTATAGGTTGAAGTCTCAGGTACCAGTGGTCGACTAACACCTGTATCTTTCTTTTCTTCCTTATTCTACCAACTATTGACTCCGAATTCTCTTTGTTAATAATTATCTACTCGTGGCATCTTAGATCATTAGACAACTTCCCTGCATTTGTTTGCATAAATATCGAATTCTCCTCTGGCAACTTAAAATGGTCAATTATCTCTCTACTTTCCATATACCAAATTACCTTCTTCTCTATTATGTTAAACCATTTCTCTTTGCGTCCTTTCAATGTCTTTGTTCTCAATACGCGAAGCTTATTCCATGTTATCATCCTCGTACCTGTTATATCAATCAGCTAATTTATGTAAAACAAGTTAAAGCTTCTAATACTGCTGTAGTATGCACTGTAAATTTCCTCTCCCATTACTTCAACTAACGTTGGACCTGTATCATAAACCTGCCACTCTTCAGTATTAGAACGAATCGACACACCTAACTCATTTGCTTTAACTAAAATTGATCCTGCTAGATTGTTCTTCCAGATCTTTTTGAGACAGCGATTTTGTGATTTTGGCCAACTCTCTTTTACTAACCCTGCCAATATGTACCCCTTGTTTAGCCTTATACGTGTCATCTTTTCTACTTGATCTGCTCTATTAAGCCTGTTTTGCAAACATACTACTTGTTTGCTAAATAGTTCCTGACTCAAGGATCTACAACGGCCTAACCCTTGATACATCACTATATAATTGCAAGCTGTTGCTGGCAAACCTATCTTGCTTTTAATTAGTCTTACTACTGGCTAGTATATTCTATCTATGCTTGCTTTAGTTATTTTCGTTGCCTGTAACATATAAGCTAATTTTGGCACAATATACATATTATTTACATAAACTAGTTGGCTGATAAATAGGCTTTTACACCTTAATGTCCTTACAAAATAACCTACAATACTTTTTGCCTTTTTAACTACAAAGATTTCACGTGGATTGGTACTTATCCAAACTCCCAAAAGCTGTGTTAGCGCTTTCTTCTCTTCAGCCTGTAACTTGTGCCTATCTACCTCAATCCACCTTTCACTCTTTTCCTACTTCAAATTAATCACTATAAGTTTGGACTTTGCACTGTTTATTCGAATGTCATTGAACTTAAAGAACCTCTGTGCTATTTCTATTATTTGTACAACTTGAGCTTTGTTTCCAC